GAGACATGTTCTTCCAAATGTTGTAGGTACAGACTCTTCCATCTGCCTGGTCAGTTTAATAGCACTTCTCTGTGTCAGATCAGCTTACCGTCATCTTTCTCGAGTAGGAGTGATACAAAAGATAGACAGCATCATGCCTAACACCTACTGGAAATACTTCACTGAATGTGTGATAAGAGTTTGCTTTTTTCACTGCACAAATCTTTCCCATTAGATTTCAGTTAGTGAGCTCTGGATTTCTGACAGATGCATGTTATGAGTCTATAAATAAATAAATGATTTTGGACATTGCATTTAAGTTGGTTTTGTTTGGTTGATTGGGGGTTTTTGTTTGTTGGTTTGGGGGTTTTTTTTGTGGTTGTTTTTTTTTTTTAAACTCCACTCATCAGTTTCATTCTTTCTTTAAGGTATTTTGGTCCTGTAGTCTTCCAGCTCTGTATCATCTACAGGTTTTACTAGCACACACCTACTTTTTGTGCCAACTTAGTTAATGAAAATTCTACTTGAGTTTCACATCCCAGTTACATCCTTCCCATTAGTTTTTCTTCAATAAGTGCCCATCTCCTCAGTAGCCACCTCCTTACCCACAATGTAATTCCTATGGTATTAGTGCTTAACCTTCTCCAGTATAGCTTGTACATTTCCAGTTGTTAGAGGTTTCTGGTATGAAATTCTGTATTTCATGAGTCAGCTGGTTTTGATTTCCAAAATGAAGAATATCTAGTCTGACCAATATAAGCCCAGGAAGATCTTTGATTTTTACCTCCATCTCATTTTTAGCTTTTATCCCCCCTGCCACCTTCCCCTTGCTCCTGTATTTATTATAATCTGTGACACTTCAAACATTCGTTTACTATTGACCCCCTACTTACATTATCTAAATTACATCTCTCCTAGCAATCACATTTTTTCTTAGTTCTCCTGCTACTTAATTGTTTTACTGTTTGTTCTTGTTCCTCTCTGAGATCTAACTCAGCCCGTATTTTGGTAAATCTCAACTGATCCCTCTACTTCTTGACCTGAAAAACATGGCTTTCCCTTCAAATATTGAAATACCTACGAAAAGCTTCTATCAGCTTCTATCGTTGCATTACAAAGAAAACTAAATGAAACCCAAAAACAACTATACATGCTCCAACTATAGTTCACAAAATCTTCAAACTCAGCCAAATCAAAATCAATTTTTGCTGGGACTCAGTTTAGCATCTCTTTTGCCCAAGGGCTATTTCCCTGCCAAGTTGCTGCTTTTGCTCCCACCCATTTCAATGTTCTTCAGACTATTCAAAATTCAAGTATATATGAATCCAATCTGCTTTTATACAAATATACAAGGTAGAAAAAGTAGAAAAAGAAGGAATACCTGATCAAATTCTAATACAACATGCTTTGAAGAACAAACAGTTCTTTCCTCCAGTTCTACCTCTAAAATTCCAAGGAGACTGTTTCAGGTAGGTGTGGAAAGGAATGAAGTGCTAGAGAGACATCTGGAAGCATCTGTCTTCTAGACAAGTAGTGGGGTTTCAGCTTTGGCTGTAATTAACTTAACCAATATTCTTAAAGACCATTAGGCAAGCAAAGCATCAATTGTTATACCTAGAGTTGAGAAATCACTATCATATACTTGCAGCATTCATGTGGCTTAGAGGTTTCCACAAGTAAAGTTGTATTTTTTTAGCATAGTTATATAAACAGTAAATCCCCTTTGAACAGGGGAGATTCTATAAGCAGTTCTATATAATGTTACTATCAACATCAGCCATCCCTTCTCTTTGGGGAATTTGGACGTGATGTGAAAGTTGTGTTCTGTAAAATGAAAACCAAAAGGGCTCCTTACAACAGCAGTCACCACACCTCACTTAGGTAATCCTAAACCATACTACACACTGTAGTTTCTAGCTTTTGTACTACTGATGTTGCTCTTTAGTCCTGAGCATCCAAATAAGAATTTGTTCAGAGTCATTTTCCATGATATATGGTGCATTCTAATCCTTGATTCCTGCAATGTTCAAACTAAGCAATAGGCAAGTTTGTAGATCCGAACTGCAGTACAGGAAAACATGTTTGTACTAAAAGAAAGTGGTAGGAGGGTGAGCTTCTAGGCTGGGCAACAAAGGAAAAAAAAAAGAAAAAAAAAAACCAAGAGGGGTGAATACATCTGCAGGACAGGTCTAGTCCAGCATCTCTGTTCAGAGAGATTGTGTTGCCTATAAGGAGTTAGCAGCTTTTACAATTACATTGGCACACCACCTTGGAGAGGTGAGAAGTAACAGTCTGTAGTTAATTTGCCAACTGGTGTTTTAGAAGAAGCCTGAATTTTTTTAAAGGCTTTGGCTCGGGACAGCAAACAAGGCTGGTTCAAAGCCTGTCTCTAATATGAAGTATCAGGGTTTCTGACTGTCTGAAAGAAAGACTCTTGAAAGGGACTAGATTACTACAGACCATTCAAAAACCATGAGTAAGATTTCTCAGTTAGGAATGTAACGCTAATTAGTCTTTTTGGGTCAGCCTGGGTGGGTTGGCTAATTAGCAAAAGTAATATACCCATGTGATTGGCCTGGAGTGTGGGTGAGGTTCCTGGAAGCACCAGGTGATATCTGGTGAAAAAAAGGATGTGTGGGTGGTAAAATCAGGACAGCTGCAGTCAGTGACTAGCGAGGGGGGAAGTACATCTTCAACAGAAAAGGCACAAAGGCTCTAAACTTTCAGAAGTGTTGAGGTAAGGATTAGCAAGCTTCTCTAAAGTTTATCAAAAGCTTAATTTAGGATAAAATAATTTCTTTGTAAGATGGAGAGATAGGCAGATTGCATAAGTACTGATGTCATGTCAAGTCAATTAGGTGGTGCACATGGTAAAACCCAAGACCATTTCAGTGCAAGAACAAATGGCAGATTTGCTTCAGCCTCAAGGCATGGAGGAGACAGAGGCCCTGCAGATGGTTTTTTAACATTAAAGTAGATGTGAATTTAAACTGCCAGCCTGTGTTTTCAGTTTCTAAATAAAAGATGAATTTTACCTACATCATCTTTTACTTTTGTTTTGGTAGAAAAATAGCAACACTCGTTCGTCCCCCTCTGCCACTGCAGAGAACCCTACAGTTTGGTTTACGACCCATTGTAAGGCTAGGAAGTCTACCACATGCTAATCGTAATAATGTTCCTTATAAAATATTATGCATGCTTTCTAACAAAAATCACATGATCTGTTTAGTCCTCCAGAAAGAAAGTCTTGGACGTCCTTAAGCCCAAGTACTTAGATTTTCCCTTCAAAGGTGGGCTCCGTGTGTCACACTACAGCACAAAGGAGAGACGGGCTCCCTCGGTAATACCGAGCACCCAAATGCCCTGAAGGCATACAGAGGAAGGTGCCAGGTGCATCAGAACAATGGTACTAGAATATGAAAGGCGTTAGCTCCTCTAGGGCAACTTTTCAAGGTTTCCACTCTGGGCTAATTTCCCCAGCATCCAAGGAGTTACTGATGTAAATACATATTGTTTCAGTGAGCTCCAACCTATTATACAGAGTGGATACCACAAATACTTAATGTTAGTGAAACATGCATAGGATAGAATGTCAACTTTTACATGTGGTTCAGAAAATTAGAGGAAGGAGAGAAACAAAACAGAGAAGACTTTAACCCACACTAAAGCACTTCAGAATTTTCTGGCAGCTGTGTCTTATGAAATTCTCTTTCTTTTCTACATATCCTTATCCTTTCAGTGATGCTTACCGAGAACTAGGTAACTGGGTCCGTTAATACAAGGATCATATTGTACATATAATTTTACTCCTCGTTTGGTCTTCTGAAGGTTGGTAACTCTGAATAATTAGAGTTTAGGGCCTGGCCTTTGTCCTTTTATTTATGTAGCTAAAGCGGACAAAGCCATTTGCAACAGCTGCATACAATAGAGTGGTGTTGTCTTGTAGCATTTAAAAAGTGCAACTTCGAGATTGCTGTGCAAGGATTCACATTACTATGAGTAAGATTTATTTCTATAGTTCTAAGATCAAACACAAATCTATCAGAAAAAAACAGCAAGCTTTGCAAGAAACATGTTTAATTAATTTTACATTTACTATTTAATACATTCTGGGATTTTTCCCTCTTGACAGATGGTGATTTAATTTCTGGATCCTTGAAAAAAACCTCAAGCTATTATGTCCAATGCTTTAACATATTTCACTTTTCAAAGTATTAGAGATGGGCCTAAAACAAAGTTTGGATTCAAATACTTATGTTCCCAGAGGGTGTTCTGCTCCAAGGTTTTGGTTCAGGCCCATCTTTTCCTCTCGACAAGTATACATTTGAAAAGGATACTGCCAAATAAATCTCCTGTTTTGAAAAGTTAAGTATTACATGTGTTTCTAATAACATGTCAGATGGAGTAGCATGAAGTAATTTCAATTATTTTTATTATTTGTCTGTGGGTTTTGCTTCCTTCTTTCATTTTGCTTAGCAAAACAGCTAACCTAGAGTAGTCCCTCTCCCTTCCGATTTACAGTCAGCGAATCAAAGTGAAACTATCACTAGCAAAAAATCCTGCTGTGCTAGTGCTTCCAGATACAAGTGAATGTAATTAAAAATACATTATTTCTTAAATTACACAAAGGTATCTGTTGAAGTCCATTTTCTATTCAGTTTATCCTAAAAAATAGAGCGGAAGCAATGAGATACAGAAAAGTCGTTTGAGGTGCTAGGAACTGAAGGAGAAAGACTATACACAAATGGAGGTAAGATTTGAGAAGGCACTCCTTACATCATGATCACATGCTGCAAAGGGAAAACAATTTTTTTAAGAGCTCAGTTTTGGATTAGTCCAGGATTCATATATCATGTCAAACAGCAACTAAATTAGAAAATGTTTTCTGGAATAAATTAAAAGTATAGGTTCAGCCCCAACCAATAAAGAGTTTTCTAACGAAAATAAAGACAAATTAGTGGAAAATTGGAAGTAAGCTACTCTAATTGTTTTTCTCTTCTGTTTTCAAATGTATTTTCCAGAGTGGATCACTAAAGGAGCCAGAGCCAAACAAAATCCCACCTCAGCGACCACCACCTCAAGGTTGTTTACAGTACATTCTCGACTGTAATGGCGTTGCAGTAGGACCAAAACAAGTCCAGGCTACTTAGATAATTGAGATTAAAAGCAAGGGTTAAAGCAAAAATGAAAAAAAGAAAAGGAACAAACACACAATCTTAAAAGAAAACATACCAGTTTTGTTCAATTTTTGCATTGTTTCAGTGCTGACCTGGACTGTGTTTTTTCTATGCAGTGTCAACTATACCGTCTGGTTGTTTACTTGTTCATGTCTGTGCGTGTAATGCTTACCTACCTTTCTCTGTAAAATTTGTGATTTCAGGGCTGTTGTCAACAGTGTACAAAGAATGTGCCTCTTTAGAGCCCAGTGCAACTGTACATTATGGATGGTTAGACAGTATTTTTTGAGTATTATATATCGCTAAGTAAAATACCACCGAGGTTCAACTCTAAATAATTTTGCTTACTCTGTGAGTGTGTGCACACTGTACTCATAGCCTTTATTTTTTTGTGCGTGTGCATGACTACTAGGTAGGTGATCCAGATATATTTTTAAAAGTCTAGAGTAGAATTTGCTAGTGAGGCTTTTTATTTATAATTTTATAAAGTTTGTTAACATTTGAGTTTTACTTATACACAAGTGGAAGTCTAGTATTTCAGTGACTCCATAAGATACAGTTCTTCCCAAGGAATATTTAAAATATCTTCTATTTTACATACTGGTATTCATATTTTTAGTAATCCTGCATTAAATTATTAGCTACAAAGCTATGTAAATGGGCCACCTATGTGCAATATCTCAGTGAAAGTGTGAGTATTTAATGTATCCTATTTCAATTAAGTAGTACCTTTTGTTGTCATTCTGAATTAGTAATCTATGGAGATTTTTAATGAAAACTAATGCAAATACTTTCAAAAATCTTATCTAAGAGTTAAATCCCAGGTTATTTGGTGAGAAGTACCTCAAGGACTGTTAAACTTCCTGTAAGAGCTCATTTTGTTTCAAATACTGAGATGGTAGGAGATGGTGGACCAAGGTACCTTTCACCACCTAGGGATCTTGCCCTTTGATTAGAAAGCAAGACAAAAATGTCAGTGGTTTTCTTTACCAACTCAGGTCTGCAATTTTAAACCTAGAAATATCCAGATAGCTATAAAGAAAATTCAGTCCCAGCGTTATCCACATAAATAGGGTTTATAACGATTGCTTGACACCAAACATGCAAAAAGACTTGAGATGCCTGACAACTGCTCGATTTTCTGTAGGTAAATTATTTGTGATCTTTGCAAAACCAATTTATAATGTAGTATTACGAGAAATACGCAGGCAGGCAGTTAATCTGTTGTGAGAAATCTAGTCTAGAATCACAAGCTACACACTGCTAGCATACCATAAAGCTTAGTTGCAAGTGAGCCACAAAACTATAATTTTAATCTTGAATATGTACAAAGATGAGTAGTGGCCATTAGTTTAGTGCAAACAATTTTGTTTAAAGGGAAAACAGCCTCATGTTCTACTTTTCCCTACAAACACATGAAAAAATTATCACTGAGACTCATCATTCTTAGTGTTTCTTTTATTTGTACAAGCTGGCTGGTAAGATCAGAATTAAGGTATGCATTATTAGCTATTTAAATGTTTGTGGTAAGTGCTACTGTTTACTACCTATTGGTAAATTACATTAATATTTTGCTTTAGTGATCAGCATTTGTCTGGGTCAGTGATCATTCCAATGATGGCCTTGGCTATTTTGTTCTATATTAAGAAAATTCCACTTAGAATCAGGTTCACAAATCCTTACCTCCAGACACCATAAAAGTGAATAAACCATACTGCCCTGGGGTGAAGAAATGAATCTGATGATTGACTTTATTTAAAGCAGTTGGTATTTTTTGCATGTAGCAGTACAAGTATTCACAAGTGCTTTTCACACGACATTTGTGAGTTGTGTGTGCAAAGAAGAGATGGGTGTTTCAGATAGGATTTCAGCTTGTTGACTGTAAAGGATTTACAAGGGCACACGCTATTACTACATACCACAGACAAGAAGCAAACCAAAATGTCTCTCTGCATGTAAGCATGCTTAGGTGCAATATTGTGGGTAACAGGGAACAGATGTTTTACAGTGTAGGCTTAATGTTCAGTTTTGTTGAGTTATTTTTGGTAAAAGTTTCTTTCATGATTGTTGCCTTTTGTACAACCCAGCTGCAAGAAAGTGAGCAAATGCTGGAAGTGTGACAGCAGTATATCTTTTATGTGAAATATCTTGTACAGCTTAATGTGCAATAAAAGAAAGTTATATCTGTCTTCAGTGTAAAGTTTCTGGCATTCAAGCCTGTATGTACAAGTGGGGGAAAGAAACCTTTCTGTTTTTCAGTATTGAGTGAAAGGAGACTAATAAGAAAACGATCCTTATTAAGATGTTGCAAGCCCATGTTATCACCTTCAAATATTTCCTACAAAAGTGGTTCAAATTAATAAACAATGAAGGCACATTCCTTAACATACAGTACGTGCTATTTATCTTTCTACACCACAACACACTGCTACAACTGTATTAAAACTTATGGAAGCATTAGTACACACTGTTCTCAGACACAGACACTGGAATCTTATATAGTAAGTGGAAAGCTAACTATAATAGCAATTTTTAAAAAAATAATGATATATTGCAGCAGTACTTTCAGATATGAAGGTTTTCTCTTAGAGACCTGAATAGATTGAGTCTTCTACTTGCACTGAATATCTACGTAAGACTAAAAATTCCCAAATGTTCAGAACATCTGTATCAGTTGTCTTCTATAATATTTACTGTTCAGCAAAACTCTTACCCTGACTGAAACATTATACAAACAGATCGCTCAGAATTTCCCCCTGTCCTTTCTTCCCCTGAACTCTGATGTCCTGCGTGCCTTGTCACATGCAAGAATAAAGATTCAGTTATAACAGCTATCAGCCCAGAAAACCACATTCAGACATCTGATACAAGATAAAAGCAGCATGCCTGCTGATATCTGACACAGCACTCTTTCAGCTAGAAAGCAGAAATAAAAACCCTGTATGATGATGTAGCATCTTTCAGCCATGGATTTCACAACCTAAGTCTCTACTACACATTGTAGTTTCACTCTTAATACGTTATTTTGCCGGTATACTTCCTTCTCAGTGGAAAGATCTCCTTGGTAAAGACTTAGTAATGACTTTCTTGTGTTTCTTGTAATGTTCTTGACATATTTCACTAAGGGGTTAAGTAAGTTATCAAAAGACTTTAAATTAGCCAGAAAATTTCAGTATAAAGTTGTTTTACTGCTATAAAGAGTAAATCTAAGAGGAATATTACAGAAATAATTTTCAAACTTTGGAGGAACAAAACTGCAATAACTACACAGAAAATAGTAGCTGTACTGCTGAAATACTGAATATTTCACCAATACATAGTGTAGTACACTATATATATGTGTGTGTGTGTATATATATATATACATATGCATACACACACTATAATATATTCAATTATCTCACAGCCTCTCCTTGAGCCGGGGCAAAATTATACTGGGTGTAACTCCATTGATTTGACTTGAAGTCAGTACTGCTACTACTGGGATAAATTTGGTACTACTTAGCAATTTTAAGGCTGAATCATAGGGGCTCCAAGGAAGTTACTAACGTACCAAGTGTGATTAGTAGTATTGACTACATGAAACTGCAGTCCGTGATAATAGAATTTTGTCTCAAAAGTAGAATTAATCACATTCAAAGGTTATTTTAAAGTGTTGGATATGAAATCTAATAAGAATTCTTTGATACTATAACATTATGAAGTTTTTCTTGTACTGAACCTAGGGGGCCCAGTGCAACCCCAAGGAATGCAATCACAAAGCCAGGAGCCATTGCAGCCACAGCGCATGTACCCCCCTGGGCAGTCAGCAAAGCCCTCAACGTCCCAGCCTCAGCGTCCGCCGGGACCTACAACTCAGCAACCACGTCCCCAAGCTCAAGGTCCTTCCAGCACCAGATTATCAAAGGAAGCAGAGCCACAGCCACAGCCACCGCCTGCTCCACAGCCAGCTCCACAGCCAGCTCCACAGCCAGCTCCACAACAGAAGCCTCAGTCTCATCCACAACTTAAGTAAGATTTGCTTTATCCATTTTTTTTTTTCTCCTCATAACACAGATTTTGTTGTCCTAACCATAATTTGGGAGTTGGTCTAACATTCAGAAAAAAAGGTACGTATGTTCCCAAGTCTCAAATCAGGTTAAAACATTTCAAAAAGCTTATTCTTTGTTTATGATTAGTAAGACAGTATCATTAGTTATATCCTAAGCACTACACAGAATTTCATTTATTAGTGGTGCAATTGCTGCCCCAGCTAGGTCTGAAAACTCATCATCTTTCTCATATTTGTTTTCTCCTTTTTCTGTCACTGACTCATGATCTGGGTGTGCTGTAAGCCTACACAGAAAAGAGGAAGTCTTATCCATATAAACTTTTAACCTTGCAGTCACTCAGACAACAGATTCCAGTTGCAAAAGGCCTATCTCAGGAGCAATCCAAATGAACACGCTAGACAGTGGCTGCCAAACTGTGTTTCTTTATGGTCGCACTTTGTTGATGGTTGTACGCTGCTACTGACTGTACAGCACAAGCAATTCACACAGGCCCTTTCCAGAGGAGACTGCAGGACTTGCACAGAAAACTGGAGTTACCTCACTACTGGAAGACTCCTTAATGCACAGCATGCTATCGCCACTATACCTAGCCAGCTGTGTGCGACAGCAAAGTGTATGGAAAGGATCTGTAGCTATACGCCCTCTCACAGCTTAAACCCACCTAACAGAAAACACAGGGAAGGTCTTAGTAATGATTTTCATGTTTTTCAACATGGCAATCCTGACACACACTATTGTCGGTAGAGTCACAGACACATTGTACTTTCTGTGGTTAAGCACAAAGACTGACATGGAGTCTTTGTTTTATCCAAGTAACAGAGCTCTCCTTTTTCCACCCACTCACATGCTAATACTAGTGTGAACCAATTCGGAGTCCTCACCCGAGCACGATTCAGTGGAAAAGATATGTTAGGTGACAATATGCAAAGGTGACAATATTTTCCTTGCCTTCCTAGGATGGTCTATTTCT